TATTACGTTTTAGTGACGCATACTGTCAGTTGATGAAATACTACATACTTACAGAAAAAAAACATCTAGTATCGAGTAGTAGCTAATAGTAACTAATAATATGGATACGTTATATCCCTTTATGCTGGCTGCAAAGGGGCCCCGAAAATTCCATTGCCTGAGGGCTCCGATATGGTTAATCCTGCCCTGCAAATAACAGCTGTTATACAGCCTCTTATGTTTTTTTTATAGGATAAGGGTGACAAACGAGCACATAGTCCACCTGATGGTAAGTGGTTGCTGCGGCCCATAGACATCCACATCTATCCTCTATTACAAATCAAAATGTAGATGCGTTGACACCCGTGAGGACTAAGATGGAATGCCTCATTTCCAGTAAAAAGGGCCCCCGGCCACCTGCACTCACCAAGCGAAACGCAGAGGTAAACCTCTACTTCACGCTGGTTTTCTGTGAGGTCGTGGTACCACCCCGGTTCGAACCGGCTCATCCGTGCGACAGCAAAAGCTGCCGCGTGGCTCTACCACTGTTAAAACACACTTTTTAAATGTTGTTAACACTGCACTTTTTAAATGTTGTATAGCTAATGTACAGTGCTACTAACGCATAAAATAAAGCTGCATAATTTGTGCAATTTATTACTTATAAGAATTGCATAAACACATTTACAGCTTTTGAACAGACAGAAACGACAACCTCTAGTATAAAAACGAACTTCAATACAGCTCATATACAGCTTGCATGCTCCTTGGGAGCCTATCAAAAGTTCTGTAAGTTAAATATGAGCGGCCTATATTCTCTTGTTTTCCATAGTTGACACGCTTGGCTGTCGGCTTGCCAACCGCACTTTTTAAGGAGGTAAGGAGAATGCTGATGCCCATGTCCTGATTTGATACCCTCTGTCACCTCTTACAACAGCCACTAGACAATATGGGGTATTAATATTCACTATGTTCTTATACCGCCATTACACAGCTTAGAATAGAATAGAATAATTTTTGTAAAATAAAAAATGGCTAAATTGTCTGGTGGCTTTAGATTGCGGCGTTGCTGAATTATAAATTACGTTGCCTTATAGATTACGAGTCGTAAATCACTAACCAATGAGACCACCAACAAATAAAGGCAATAAATCAAATCACTAAAGAGCTAACAATAAGTTTGCAATGTAAAAGGTATGTAAACAAATTAAGGTGCGTACTGCTATAAAAGTATGGTAATATAGAACACGAAATAGCTGCATTCCCACAACACTATTCTGCGTTCTGAGTTAAGTATCAACCTGCATTGACCAAAGGGGAACCCCTTGCTGATTATAAGCACCTCTCAATTCTGAGTAGGTGTTAGACAACGAAGGAGCCCGCTGATAATATTTTTCGTTTCTCAATCATACAGATTTTCTATCATCTACAATACCTAGTATATCTTTATTACAGTAAGTAGTAATTTGCTACGGCTCTATATCGATTTCTCCTTAATTTCCTATCTATATCAGCAAATTTAACAATTGTTTAGTGAATAAACCACGGTTAACTAACTCACCCTGCTGAGAGTTTGCTAATTATCGATGTGGTGATCAAATAAATTTAATTGGTTGGATTGTACACTAATAATAACCACTGTGATGCGACGAATAAAATTTTAAGGCATAACCATTGTGTGTTTGACAGTAGACCATGGATATGGTACTCTTTATACATACGGCGTGCTACTTTGTAAACAATGTAAGGTATTTAAAACGCGTATTTCATACAACTTTATTAACAACAGGAGTGTACCGAACGAACTTGTTACATGCATATTATACAGAAATTATTAAGAAACTTATTACATTATGATTCGCATGGCGTATCAAAAGCTTTTGAAATACAATTAAAAGCATCGTCACAAAAATATTGCATTCGGTATTTTACCGTCCTGTATTTGCGTTGCAACATAAAGGAAATTGCTAAAACAGAAATATTAAATATTTGTCTGGGAATTGCGTTTCATATTTTCTCTGAAATATGTTTTAATATTACCTCATCAAAATGTTTTAATGGAGTTCTATTAACTTTATGATTGCACTTGTTAATATGTGAATTCAGATGAACCCGCAAAACTTTTCATATTACGAGTAGCATCAAAGGTTAAATATGAAACTGATTTGAGCGAGCTTTAAACTCATGCCGCGATATGTTTGGTATTAATTACAAGTAGGGTAAAACACCCAGTAGTCAGCCCCGCATCAGTACTCGGACTTTACAGACATTATTTCCATATAAATAGTGTTGAAATTTGTTTAAACCTTTAAAATAACGTTTAATTCATTCTGTGTTTCCTTATTGACTAATGCGCACACTTACGAACCAATATCATATTTTCTGTGTGATATAATTAAAAACGAGTATATCCGCAGTAGAATCTGGAAAGCATTAGTAAGCTGAAGTGACAATAGGCCGGCCATATAGCTCGAAGAACCAAATCGATGTGGAAGAAAGGTTCTCGAGTGGCACTAGATGAAGGGACAACGTGGTAAGACGCAGGAAGTCAATAGATGCAGGTGGCTCGAGACCGTGCTTTGTGGCCTTAGAGTATTCAACTAACTCTAAGTTTGTGGCATTCGTTGGGGGAGGCCTACATAGGCCTTCTGTACACTTAGCAGTGGACTTGTGAAGGGCTGTAATGATGATGATGATGATGGTATTTGAAAATATAGGTACATAATAAAGAATTTCTATGCCAAATATGCAAGAATAAGTGAGAGGCTGACTACAGGGTAAGACATGGCTGACTTGTGGAGAAATGAGGCTGACTACTGTTGAAAAGTACCATAATTTGTTTAATGTTCATTTTTTATATATTTCTATTATGAATACAATGTTTTGATAATTTCTTTAGTAAGTTTAATAAACAACCTTACTGGGAATAATTATTGTTTTTATTCACAATGCTTAATTTTTAAAATACAGTTGAATCAAATTTTAGTTCTCACTAAAAGGCTGACTACTGGGTGTTTTACCCTATGTTACGTCTAAACCTTATGTCTAAACTAATTTACATTAATGTCAAGTTAGTTAAACACCGAGGAAGGGAGCAGAGTGAAGATGGTGATGATTTTTTTAGTTGTAGGTCACGTGCGGCACAAATACCCTTTGTAAGAATAGTATCAGACTAAGAATCATTTCTTACAGGAATGACTTTGGAATTTCTATGAAAATTAGCCAACCGAATGTCGAAAGACCCACTCAGACACCGTTTTATTCGCTTCAACAGATTGAATGGACGTGGAAGCGATTTAATTTATTTATGTCCGTCGTAGAAAGATAACAAAACAAAATTTATTTGGCAATGGTGAAGCTTGACGTCGCACTACTACAGGTCATAATACTAATGTAATCTGAATTAGGATGCATTAAACACAATTGCAATTTTACGGCCACTCGAAATTTTCAAGTCATATGAAGATTTAAGATATACCCTGCAGTTTTTAAATTATGTTAGATGGCCTAGCATTTTTAATGAGTTTTTGGGGTGTTATAAGTGTCGAGGGTACACCCAGGATGCCGCCGGGGATCTGAGTGAGAGTGGGATAAGATTTAAAATGTACTCTGTGGATAATATTTTACAAGAGCAAATTTTTTTTAAATTTATTTATACTTTCAAACTTAACAAAGCGAGACATTGGTTGGTACGACGCTTTTAAATTTGTGACGTCGCCCATCAAACTCAAAGTAAATATAAAAACCCCTTTAAGTAAATGAAATAAGTTCTCTTTCTTCTAAATTATAATCTCAATTTGTCATAAGTAGGTAGGTACATGATTTTTTATGTAGTATGTAGGTATGTTTTTTTCTTTTTTTATGTATTATACATAAAAAAAGAAAAATGAGATTCAAATATCTCACAACAATAAAACACTGAATCGAGCAGTTTTACATATTGCAGACTATTTCAACAACTCTTTTTTAATCATTTTATATACGAAATCCGAATTTAAAGCAACGAAGCGCACCGCTTAGCAGAGACAATAAACAGGGGAAAAGTTTTCTTGGGGTTTAACATTCTCACCTTTGGAATGTAATATAAAGTTGAAAATAATGCAGTGCCTAGTCAAAAGCTTAACTGTGCGCTGTGAAATTCAAAGAGACGTGTAATGTGTGAAAGGCTAATTCTCCGAATACTTTAACAAACAGCGATATGCAAATGCACAACTCCTGTTTGATTGCAGCTTTGAGAAATTCTTGACATTCGTGAATGATACCTTTATTACAGCATTTGTTACACACATGTTTTGTACTCTTGTACTTATAATATTTGACAGATTTCATAACGGGATTTCATACTGTAGAAACAGATAAAGTTTTATTAAAAAACAACTTCTCAATTAAATTACATTGTGAAACAAAAAACTTTACCTCAGTATCAACTAGCGACATCTGGTGAACAGAAAATTATTAGCCCTCGTTACTACAGCTATGGGGTTGTGGTAGTGGCTTTACTGGATGTTTCGTGCTGTGACCACTTTTAAAATCTTATATTTGTCTAAAAATGATATTACCCTATTCGATATGACTTTTTCGAATATTTTTGAAAAATTTGATAATAGGGCAATAGGTCTATAATTGTTCATTTCCCATTCAATGGATGAAGATTGGAACGAACGGACGAACAAGCGAATAGGAAAAGGAATATTCTAGCTAAACAGAACATATCGGGATCCATCTCTCTAAAGAAACCCGACGGTAGCCACTCAATATCGCCGGATGAAGCCCAACGCATTCTAATTGAAATGCACTTCTCAGGTTGTTGCGTAACTCAGGAGGCAAACCGGCATGACGACATACTGACACCAATAGCAGAAGACTGGAATTTAGCACAGGAGTGGTAACGATGGACAAAATCCATTGGGCCATTCACAGTTTCCTCCCCTATAAGGCGGCAGGACTTGACGGCATATTCCCGGCACTCCTACAGTGGAGGGGGGGGGGGATAAATCCTTATAGTCAGACTTGTTGCCATAATGAGAGCCTGTCTGGCTCTTAAATATGTTCCTAGGGGACGGAGGGAAGCGAAAGTCACATTCATACCCAAACCAGTTAAGATCGACTACACAGACCTTAAATCCTACAGGCCCATTAGCCTGACATCCTTTCTCCTAAAGACGATGGAGAGGATGTGTGAAAGGGAATTAAGGGGGTTGGCGCTAATGAACTTACTACTACACGACAAGCAACACGCCTACAGTCTAGGCAAATCAACAGAATTGGCACTTAACCAGATAATAACAAACATTGAAGAGGCCATCCAAAATAAAGAAATATGTCTAGGTTCCTTCATAGATATAGAAGGTGCTTTTAACAGAACGAACTTCTCCAGCATAAAAGGTGCACTCAGTAGACATTAAGATGCCGGTTCAACTTTGTCTGGATAGTAAACATGCTCAGTACACGAATAATAAAGATTGCTGGTGAATCTCAACCCATCCAGATTAAGAAAGGCTACCCGCAGGGTGGGGTTCTCTAACCTCTCCTGTGAAATATGGTCATTAATGAACTCATCATTAAATTAAATGCCAATCACTTCTACACAGTAGGTTATGCTGGTGACCTGACAATACTGGTATCTGGAAAGACAGCAAGCATAGTGTGCGACCTGACCCAAGCGGCTCTCCGTATAGTGGAGAGATGGTGCAGGGAATACGACTTAACCGTCAATCCAAATAAAACGGTTCTAGTAATGTTCACACAAAAACGAATGCTAAATAACTATCATCTCCCAAGTCTTTTCAGCACAAAACTCCACCTATCCTCTGAGGTAAAATCTAAGGTCTTACCTTGGACAGCAAACTTAACTGGAATAAACACATAGAAAACCAAATTTAAAAAAAGCTAGTATAACTTTCTGGCAATGCAGAAACATGATTGGCAAAAGATGGGGTCTGATGCCACAAATCATACTGTGGCTGTACAAAACTGTAATTCGGCCAATGATCACATACGGCGCTCTGGTATGGTGGATCAAGACACATGAAGACACCACTATAAAGAAGCTTCAGCGCTACCAGAGACTGGCATGCATGGCTGCCACAGGCTGCATAAGGACTACGCCAACAGCAGCATTAGAAGCGATGCTGGAGCTATTCCCGCTTCTTCTACATATACAACAAGAAATGACTTTAGATGCCATTAGACTCAAGACCCTAAATCTTTGGAGTAAGAATAGTGTCCCTAATATAGGCACAATTGATAGAATCCACTCAAAAATTCCTATCTTACAAGCCAAGTACGATAAGATTCCTAAACAATTTGTATTCGATAAGAAGTACAAGATACAATTAAATGAAACCAGCCAGTCGGTAGGATTAAGCCCAAAAGAGCTTAGAGTTTTCGCCGATGGTTCTAAAACAAATGAAGGTGTAGGATCTGGAACTTTCTCTGAAGACCTCAATATCCACATATGCACACCCCTGGGGACATATAACACAGTCTTTCAGGCAGAATGTGTGGGTATCATTCAAGCGGCCATAGAAATAGATGCTAGGAAGGTTAACGACTTCTTCATCAGAATACTGACCGACAGTAGAGCGGTTCTACAAGCTCTGAGTTGCAATGTGGTGAACTCGGGACTAATATATGAATGCCATCAACGATTAAATGAGGTATGTAAAAACAACAATGTGACTCTGCAATGGATAAAGGAACACAGTGGATCCAGAGGCAACGACGAAGCAGACGAACTGGCCAGAAGAGGATCAGCTCTGGCCACTATATGGCCGTAACCAATCATACCAATCCCCTTTGGTAATGTTCTTTCACTAGTACGTAGACACTTCACTAATCAACATGCTCAGCTTTGGAAGAATCTAGTAGACTGTAGACAAGCTAGGGATGGCCTGCCTGAAATAAACAGTCGTTTAACCAAAGTTATAATGAGACTGAACAAGCCGCAGATCAGGATAGTAACAAGTGCTATCACAGGACACGGCACCTTTAACAAACATTTATTTACTATAGGTGTTACAGATAGTCGCCTGTGCAGGGCATGTATGGGGGAGGACGAAACGGCGGCCCACGTGCTACTGAAATATCCGGAGGTCGCTACGTACAGGGCCAAACATTTCGACACGCCGAAATCACCCCCCGAAGTTGCATGTAACATCAAAGGACTGTTGAGCTTCTTCGGGAATATCTCATGGCTCGAATAATAACCTTATTCCTGCCCACACGCAAAATACGCACATAGACGTGGATTTGCGGAAAACAGCCCGTTGTAAACTAAACTAAGATTGGTGTGCTCAATGGATCGAGACGGTATTTCATGCAGGACCACTGCTTACAACTTTAGAAAGATAAGGTTCGGCCTCATATGGAATACTGTTCTCATCTCTGGGCCGGGGCACCTCAGTATCAGCTCTTTCCACTTGATCGTATTCAAGTAAAAGCGACCCCGATTACAACCGGCTTGATCAACTGGCCTTGCGAATAGACATTATATTTCTATGCATCTTCTACCGCATATACCACGGGAAGTGCTCAGAAGAATTGTTCGGCTTAATTGCAGCTGCTGAATTTCACCATCGTACACTGGGATAGAACTCGAAATTCCATCCTCATCATCTCGATGGCTGGCGGTCCACTACGGTGCGATTTACGCGGAATTTTCTACTTCACACGAAACTGTGGAATTTACTGTCATCAGCGGTTTTTCGGGACCGATACAGCAAACTTATGCTCATAAACGACACCTCATATTTATCTAAAACAACATGCGAAGAATTTATCAAATTAATTGCATCCAGCAAGCAATGCATTAAATGCATGAAACGTAAATAATGGTGGTAAAAGGTGACAGTTACGTGGAATGGAATATTATGGAGCCTTTCCACGCTTGCCAAGCCTCGGCAAACGTCTTCAAGCCCCAAGCGTCCACAAATCTCGTTTGGCGTTTGGAAGTTGTTTACATGCTTGTGAATGCGTCAGTGTGCTATATCCAAGCATGGCGGACACCGAACTTGTGTCGGCTATTGCGTTTGGTTTAACATACTTTTATTTGAAATGCAAAAACAAGAAATTTTTTGGCTTTTAATTCTTTTACTGGCTTTCCCGTTAACTCGGCAAGACGACTCCAAGCATTCACAACTTTCTAGAACAAATAACTAAACATGCGCTCGTCGCGAAATCACAATGGTTACTAAAAGCGCACCAACGTGTGAATGCGTTGCAAGCGCTTGCCGCAAGCGCCCTTTGATCTGTATCCAAAAATCGACACTAGGCCTGATTGGGGACAAGCGTCCACAAGCTCACGCAAGCCAAGCCAAACGCCCTCTTAGGCTTAGCTTTCCATTGACGTCAGTCGAGTTTGGTGTTGATACGTATTTTTACAGAAAAGTTACACTATTATAAGCACACACACAAAGTTTCAACATGCGGAAACGCGTAATTTTTGAGAAAAGAATTATTGAAAATCAATTATTCTTGCAATGTTTATGTCTAATCCTACCATAAAACTGGCGCCATTTTGTAATGTCATTGTCGACGTCAATAGGGATGTCGATGCTTTCCGAAAAAGGTCGATTTTTAAATCGATTCAAATCGTAAGCTGATGTATCGGTTCACAAGAAATCGATTTCTAAAATATCTATATTTTTTTAATGTTTCTATTTATAATGTAAATATAAACCTATTTTAATAAAAAACAAGAAAGATACCATGATAAATGATCTCTAATTGAAATTTGTTTTATTTAACAGTACCTATTAGGGCAGATAACAAATAAAATAGGTTAGGTTCAACTTATGTCAAAGAACCGAATTGATTGACCCCGACTCCACCTGGTACGAGTCTGTCCTACCCCTAGAGTGGTTTAGGTGGAGCCGGAGGCGCGTAGGGGGAGCAGCCTCCGCCTCCTCGCCTCCGCAGCTTCGGCTTGTTGGTCGCCTTCGGCGACCAGCCTCATTCGCTCCGGCTCGTCCGATGCCTACGATTTGTTACGCTAAGGCGTAGAGGCTGCTCTTCCCGCAACGCCGGAGACATAGCAGTCTCAAAATAGATACAGAAATCCTTCTGAATCAGTCCCCCTATATTTTATGATGAAGGGGATTTTTTTTCATAAAATGGATTTATATTTACATTATAAATGCAAACATGAAAAAAATATCGATATTTTAGAAATCGATTTTTTGGGAATCGATACATCAGCTTACAATTCGAATCTATTTAAAAAATCGATCTTTTTCGGAAAGAATCGACATCCCTACTGACAATAATAATAAAAATGGCGTCAGTTTCACGGTAGGAATTGACTAAATATTGCAAAATTATTTCATTTACAATATTTTTTTCTCAATAAGTACGTGTTTCCGCATATTGAAACTTTGTGTGTGTGCTTATAAAAATGTAATCTTTCTGTAAAAATACGTATCAACACCAAACTCCACTGACGTCAATGGAAAGTCGTACCCCCTCTTTTCACACTTGTGCTTGTGGATGCTTGCCGAGACTTGGCAAGCGTGGAAAATGGCAGGAAGCGACTCATCCACTCACACTCACATTTGGACCCGGTAAGTAGCGCTGTTGTTGAGATCTAGAAAACAGTCGTGCGAAGCCGGAGCTGATCGTTAGTCGGCGTGTATAATTGTGATTACAAACGGGACCCAACTTGCATGTGTACCGTGTGTCTGTCAAGACACTTAGTATTCATACATCCGAGCTATTAGATTTTAAAGCGAAACGAATATTTGATATGTAATATAATAATTATCATCACTTGATTTAGAAAACAATATACTTGATCGTTCGAATAATAATAAGTCTAGTCCCCTTTTTCTTTATATTTTTAGGCTAATAACAAAGTAATAAAATTCTCTTCTTAATAACTGGCTTTACGGCTCTGGGATCTAGCCCTTCTGAGCCTGAAGTAATAATATTATATTATATTAATTATTCTGCATAGTTTTTTTTTATAGGAGAGGGGGCAAACGAGCATGCGGTTCACCTGATGGTAAGTGACTACCGCCGCCCATGAACAACTGCAACACCAGGGAGGGAATTGCAGATGCGTTGCCGGCCTTTTAAAAAGGAGTACGCTCTTTTCTTGAAGGTCCCTAAGTCGTATCGGTCCGGAAAAATCGCTGATGGTAATCTATTCCACAAGGAAGTCGTGCGAGGAAGAAAACATCTTCTAAATCGCACAGTGGTGGACCGCCAATCATCCAGATGGTGTGGAGGGTATCGGGAGTTCTGCCGCGAAGTGCGTTCGTGAAATTTGGCGGCTGGGATTAATCCGAACAATTCCTCAGAGCACTCCCCATGGTAGATGCGAAAGAAAATGCAAAGGGATGCAACATCTCTTCGCAGTGCCAATGAATCGAGCCGATCGGAAAAGGCTCGGTCGTCGACGATTCGA